ACAAGTTATGAAATCTTGCAATTTGTTCCTTAATTAAATTAAATTAATTTTATAATTCTTATTCTAGCAATTGAGGGTGTGACAAGCGAGGTTGGGCACATTCACCAACACCTAGTCAACTCGAAATGTTGTAACCCCAGATGTCTCACTATCATCATCCAATTGCAATGCATGGCAAACTATTATGGCATGAGGAATCCTGAGATTCATGATATGTTGGAGATATGTGCAGCCTATTGGGGTATATCGGACGATGGATAAACGAAGTTGGCAGTTGGGTTCCAGGTTGAAACTAAGAAGGATACCCAACTAGCAGTAAATGGGTTTTGTATCAGAGCTCATATGGAATTCAATATTGTGGAGCCTGATCAAAAGACATATTTTTTCAGGTGTGTAAACAATAATATTGTCTGTAAGTGGAGGATATATGTCTCATACCTACAGTGAAAGATGTTGTGGGAAGTCACAAGGTTCCACAACCAGTATAGTTGTACGTTGAGCTCCTTAACACAAGACCACAAACACTTAGATTCTTATGTCATATGTGCATACATTAAGCTTTTGGTGGAGAAAAATACAAGGATCCTATTTTCATGATAGTGGCATCAATCCGGAATACATTTGGTTATATTTCGTCTTACTACAAGTCGTAGATGGCGAAAAGAAAAGTTATGACACTATTAAATGATGATCAGTCGTACAATAAGCATTTACAACTGCTGCATGCAATGAAATTCTTCATCCCAGGAACCATTGTTCGCTCGTATACCTATTCTACGACCACGTTGATGGACATGTTATCCTAGGGAAGAGATTTTCAATGATAGAGGCTTGTTTTGGGCTTTCAAGTCATCAATTGAAGGTTTTCATTACTGCAAACAAATGGTTCAAGTGGATCACAATGTTTTGTATGACGTATACAAACACATTTTGATATTGATGATAGTTATTGCACAAGATGGTAATATAAACATTTTCCTCATTATCATTACCATTGTTAAAAATGAGTATAAAGAAACGTAAAATTTCTTTCTGTCAAACTTAGGCTATCATTTTGTCACTCAAGATGGGGTTTGTATGATCTCAGACAGTTCACATGGGTTGTTGGCCATGATTGCAAGATCGGGAAGTAGGTGGTGGCCTCCACATGCATTTTTGGTGTATTGTATATGTAGACATTCATTTTTGTCCGAGTTGTCGCTTTTATTTTATTATATATTATATATTAAATAATTAATACTATTTAAATATTATTTTTATTTTTTTACATGCCACATACATGACCTAAACTAGGTCAAATATTACAAGACCAACCTATATTACAATATACCCAAATCTAAAATAGGCCCAACTTAAACCCTAGCCCAAAACCAAACTAACCTTAACCTAAACCTAGCTACAATTGCAGCCGACCGAGTCGTCTGTCGTTGCCGCCACTGCCGCAGCTGTCACTACCACCACTAACTGCTCTATCTGCACCGCCGACCACTGTCACCTCATCACAACAACAGCATGCATCAATCAGTAAAAAAGACAAAAATTAATAAAAAAATCCTAAACGGATTTTTTAATACGTTTTACTCATAAGAGACAAAAAATTAAATCCATAACCTTCAATCATTGAGAATATGGTCATCATACCCTATCTTTTCGGCAAGCACAAGAACAGAACCATCAAGAAACATGCAAAACCATAAAAACGGGGATTCAAACAAAGCAAGGGGAGGAGGCCATTTGAAAAAAAATCCAGATTCGAAAAGAAAAAGAGAGAAAAACGAAGAGGAGTTCAAACAAAAAAAATGAAACAGAGAAAAAGAAGCTTGCCACTCGATCAGAACCATACAACCTCGCCGGAACCACGAGAATATTAAAAATGTAGTTTTTTTCGGGTTTGAGATTTTAAGAGAGCTTGAGTGAGTTTTGATTTCTAGATTGGTGTGGGAGTGATAGGAAAACAAAAGGGGGTTGTTGGAACTTCACCAACACCAATTAGGCGGTGGTCGGAGAGATATTTTTAATCTCTCAGCCTTGTTGACACAAAAGAGAGAAAATAGGAGAAAAGGGGAAAGTGGTCGGGTGAAGAAAATAGGGGTTAGGGTAATTTTTTTTATAAGGGGGTATATATATCGTCCAAAACGACGTTGTTTTGGGAACCTGGGTTTCCTAAAATTAGCATGTGGGCTATTTGTGCTGGGGTCATCATTGCTTTGTAACTTAAAGGATCATGATTTAAATTTTGGACTCGACTACGTAAAATTCCGCTACCTAGACAACGTATAATTGAGAGGTACCAATTTTGGGCGTTGTGGGGGTGCTAACCCTTCCCCTCGTGAAATTGACTCTCGAACACTTTAAAAACGAATCTTTGGTAAACACAGACCAATTTTTGTCTTAAAAACAATTTTTTATTGTTTTAAAAGACGTTTTTAGGTATTCGACCTACCTAACCCAAAGGTCGATGGCGATTCCAAATTTTAAATTAAACTAAAATTCAAAATTTTCAAAAAATAAAGTCATAATTATTTTTAAAATTTAATATATATATATATATATATATTATTTGTTACGACAATATACGTCATATTGCTTCAAATGTTATAACGACGTTTAAGAATAAGAATATCAAGAAAGAGATTATCAACATGGGTAACTTATTCTTTTTTTCCTTCATTTATGTTCTTCATTTATTATTATACTTAAATCTAACTTTTTTTCAAGATACACTTTACTACAACAAAACTTCTGTGCAAGGTTGGAAAATCTAAGGAAATACAGAGAAGAGGTTTATAACTTTGCAGCTGAAATACATCGGGAAAGATGTTCACAAGCATATGATGATCAAGGTCGACGTTACGATCATATGACAATTAAATCTTACCCAATGTATCAATTCATTGCTTAAAGGGACTAGACATCTTTTGGTGGCAAGTATTGATCGAGAGACTTACTTTAGATTGGGTAAAGTATGGGCAGACAAAGGTGCCCAAGTAGAGGTAATGATCAACGAAGGTATAAATTAGGCTCTAGATTTGGAAAAAGCAATGAACAAAAATCAAACACATGCAACATCAATATATGTTCATAATTTCGTCATACTTGTTTCTGATTATGTTGTCCAAGCACTTGTTCGACCACATGAAGATAGAAATTATGGTGTGATTATGGTCGATTTCAAGTCTTCAGATGCCCATGTGTTCATGCGGTTACTGCATGTATGCATGTGAATGTAGACCCATACTCATACGTTAATGATTGTTATAGCTTGCATATTATGTGCAACGTATACAATTGTGACTTTAAGTACTCCCAAACTCTATATATTGGCCACCAACTATTTTTGAAGAATGGTTGCCCAATCCACAATTATGAAGGAAGTTAAAGGGTCGTCCTGAATTTAGTCGAATTCATACTGATATGGATAATCCACAACGATTTTTTTAAGTACAAGGGATTTACATGCCTTCAATGGCAGATCCAAAAATATTTTGGAGAGTTGATACATACATATTAATTAATAAAAAATTTCGAATAAGGTGGACACAATAAATTTTAGAGCGGGCACTCCTAATAAAATGAACAACTAATATATAAAAAAAGTTTTAAATTCTAAGGTGAGTATGTGTCCACCTAAGCTTGCTTTGCATACGTCATTGCATGTCTTTAAGCCTTAAAAATTTTCATTATTAAACTTACTAATTTTGAGCTGTAAAAAATATTCTCTAAATTGATCAAAGTAATGTTAATACGATTATAAAAAACATTTAAAAATTGAGACAATGTATGGAATCATTTGGGTGCATGATTTTGTCCACGTGACCTTTTGAAAAATAATGTATATGCACGTGAGAATTAACTAGGAGGATGAGTGCAGGTGACTTGTTTTCGAAACAGAGAGGGCCACACCCACACATTTCTCATCACTTTTGACGCTGAAGGCTCTCTCTTCCTCCTCCACTTTCTCCGTCTCTTTAAATTTCATTTACTCCCAATACTTAAAGAAAAATATCAAACCACAACCCCGTGTTGATTTTCCAAACGTCGAGATTCTTTTTCCTGGGAAATGTCAATTCTCTAATTTCGCTGTGCGACTTAATTCTCACGCAATTGAATTCTTTGATTGGGGCCTCGACTCGTAAAATTATTACCCATTTTGATATGTAATTCTATTACTTTGATTTGACATCCAACTAACACTATTAACCATACTAGATAAAATATTGACTTATGTCGATCAAATTTGTGACCAAAAAAAATGTAAACTTTAATTTTGATTGACGGTAAATCCTTGATTTTTATCTCACACACCTTTTCCCTCCTTCCCCTTGTCAAATGATCTCTCTACATTTTGATATAATTGAGTTAGAAAATCCTTATACAAGTATCCATATACTTTACGATATAATTGAATCGGTTGGATTTAAAATTCGAGATGTAAAATACAATTTGAGTTTAATCATATTTAATTTTAAACTTTAAACTTTAGATTTTTCAAGCTTATTCAAATATGGTAGATTAAAATTGTTTACTTAATAAGTTTATTTTTTATGATTAATCGTAAATTATATTATTTATATTTCAACTTGAGTTTAATTTGAAATCGATGATAATCATTAAAAATATATAAAAAAATAGTTTGATTAGATTAAAGAATTATACTAACCAAGTATCACAATACTCTAGTTTAATATACTCAATAATTTGACCTCGAAGAAATGATAAAAAAAAATAAAACCAAATCTAAGTTACTTTATAAGATGTATAGTTAAAATGTTTATAATTAAAAGAGGTTTGTATATTTAACTAACTACAAATATATATGGATATAATTAACATATAATACACAGATTTATAACTGAATCAATACATACACTTAAAATAAATCTATAGTATACAATAAGTATAGATATTAATTACTCGATTAAAATTTAAGATTGATCGATTAAGTTAATTTTTTAAAGTTCTTAACTGAATCGGTCAATCTTCTGATCTTTCTAATTTAATTGGAATTGAGATTTTTAATACTACTAATAATAATAGTAAATATAATAGTTTTTAATGACATCCAGGAGACTTTAGGGACTCCACTTGAGATTTACCTTTGGGGCCCTTTAATCTGATGAAGAGTCGGTATTCATCGAATGTCATAGGAGGATAGAGGGCCGGTTTATCTTCCGAAACCAATTCTTCCACCGGTTTGATCGGTATATCATTCTTCGGGTTGTAAAAGAATGCCAATGATACCCTTTCCATCCCTGAATTTACTATCACTCTATGCTCTACACTCTTGTAATTTGCATTGCTTAGCACCTGTAAAAATCAATTATGAATATATATCTTAATATATTCGATAAATTAATCATTTAATAATTTTATTAACAGATCATATTATAATCAATATCGACATTTTAATCAATTATAAAAAAAAAGTTATCATTCAATTTGTTAGTTTTCTTATTTTAATCTTGATATTTATTTTTTCTATGATAATTTTTTAATTTATTTATTTTTATTTTTTAACGAATAACATTTTACTATTGTACCGCCTACCATAATACCGTACTATCACATAATTCTACTATTGTATCACGTGGAAAATGCAGGTGGGATTTGAACATAGTAGAATATTCAAAATTTTGTGTCATTTGTAGGCTTAAATTCATCATGTCTGTCCACTTTGTCTGTTTTTAAAGGAACAGAAAATAAAACACAAGCCTTTTTCTAAATAAAATCGATTTTATTCGGATAATTTAGGGAAAAGATTTTAAAAAAAAAAAAGTCACCTGAATTTGATCACCGATGTTAACGATAAATGCATGTGGAGCAGGTTTGATAGTGATCCACCGACCATTTTTCAGTACTTGAAGTCCGGGAACTTGATGGTCTGGTAAGAGAATTGTCAAGCCACCGGGATCCGAGTGCGACGATAAGCCAAGCGTAAGATCAGGTTGTGGACACTTGGGATAAAAGTTAACCCTTAAACATGCCCCTAAGTTGTCCCCTCCGAATGCATGTTGAAGTCGGTCTTCTTTTAGCCCGAGGTTTACACACAACACCTTCATTATTCTCCCACCTAACTTCACCAATTCCTTCCCATATTCATCAGTTACTTCCCTACATTCATCAAAACCAATCAATATTGTATTCATACACTCCAATTTCATGTCGATTTATTTATAGAAAAAAAAGGAGTTTACCTGCAAGAATCCGGAGAAGCTGGCCATTTGTTGTAGTCTTTGAGAGTTGATGGAAGATAGTGAAGATAATAGTAATCACTCCAATCAAGAATGGCACCTTTTTCGATCCCTAATCTGCTGCCATAACCTTCATAAGTCTTGGGTGAGTTAGCATAAGCTTGCTTACTCTCCATAGGCAAATGGAAGAAGCTCCGCCAGGTCTCTCGAGCTCGGTCCATCAAATCGGGGCTAACTCCATGGTTCACGACTTGGAAAAAACCCCACTCCCGACACGCCGAGAAAATTTGGTCCACCGTCCTTGGAGGAAGCCCGATTTTGTCATCGGATAAACCAGTAAGATCGATGAGCGGAATGTTGACGTCACAACTTTCGGGCCAGTTTATGACCGGCCTATCCGAAAGTGGCTTCATGTATCTATGGGGAATCGCCGGTAAGCCGCTTTCGGACAAGGATTGAACCCGGATAATAGGTTCAGGCCAGTCTAGTAAATTGTTCATCATGCAAGAAGGGAATTCAAACAAGAGAAAGGGGCTTCTTCCTTTCTGGAGAAGGAGGGGGGATAAGCATGGAAGTATCTGTGAGCTGTGCATTGAAATAGGCATGAATTACAACGTGAAATAAATGGGATTTTTCATCTTACCTTTCCCATTAAAAAAACAGCTGGTTTGTGGCTGTGGGGAAGGTTGAGAACTAATTGGTTTTCAAGACCTACCTTAAAATCCTAAGATTTCTGTTCCAGAGTAATATATCATTTATTATTTATAGGACAGTAAAGGTCCCTCCCCGTTAGATGTGTTCATTAATCAGATCAAATTTATTCTTCTTAAATCTTAAACTCTAAATATAAATATAAAAAAAACATTAAACAAATAATCATAATTTCATATTAAATAGGTTTTAAAATTTAAATATAATAGTTGGACCACATATTTTTGTACGTAGGATTTTTTGTTAAACTTGTGAAATATAGGATGACCATGTGACCGTATTGTGCTTTTGTGAGGCACTACTGGTATGGCTTTATGAAAGAAAATGACAGGCAAATAGAGAAAACAACACACATTTCCGGCTTGAAGAACACACGTGCAGTTCATCCATTACATGGAGAAACGACCCAACGAGTGCGCGTCTATGTTCCCATTTCGGCGCCGTGATCAACTTGATTATTATGCGTAACAACAACATATAGGATAACAATTAACATTATTTAAGTTACATCAGTATAATATAAAATATGATGATCGAATTAAATAAATATTATTCCTATAAAAATTTGAATCAAGTAATTTTATATTGATGTATACACTTGTCAAGGTGGATAGATAGTATTCAATGCTATAGCCTTTATGTTATTACACAAGCAAATATTCAATGGATCGAATGAAAACAAGAGGAATAGTTGCCACACAAATAGTTTTCTTACCAAGCAAAGTTAAATGATTGGAGATTTCTACCATGCTTTTCGAATCATGCTAACATCATTTTTTTTTATTTTAGAAAATTGAAATAATAATCATGCTATATTCTCAGCCTCCAATTGAATAGCGCTGTCAATGTGTGAATTTTAATAAGGGTAAACTACATATTTAGTACTTTAACTATTAGTTTTATTTTGTTTTAGTATCTAAACTTTCATTTGTTTCAAAATCATACCTAACATTTATTCTTTGTTTCGTTTTGATACATTGTCGTTAGAAACTTCACGAAACTGTTGAAGGTGACAACTTTTTATGGGTAAATTGCATCATTTTTCACTCAACTATCTTCATTCCTATCCTAATTTAATCACTCCAAATTTCAAATTTATTTTTATTTTAATTATATATTAATAAAATAATAATAATAATAGATGTCATATCACAAAAAATATTAATAAAATAAATTAGAGTGATTAAAACATGATTAATTTGAAAGTTGAGCAGTTAAATTGAAAATTTTCAAATTTTAGTGATCAAAATAGGAGTGAGAATATTGTTGAGTGATGAATAATGTAATTTACCCATAAATGCATCGTTAAGTTTTTAATGACAATTGTCAGAACCGTCTTCGGTTGGGCCCTGGAATTGGGCTTCGACTTGAAATAATTGGTTAGGAATTGGGTTAGAGTCGCCACCGATAATTATTTTAAGACAAATAGGTTGATCTGTACCTTATTTCTTACCTGATCTGCGTTGTACCAGAAACGTGTCGAGTTCGGGAGTCGTTACGTTAAGGAAGGATTAGCACCCTTGAGCCCCTTTCAGTACCAATTAATTTGTCAGTTGTTTTATTGCGAAAATTAAGAATTAAATTAAAATTTAAAATTTGATTCGAATTACTTACCTTTGATTGGTTGGGTTCTTCTAAAAGGGATCAAAATGTTAGACAAAAATAATGACAATAATAAATGAATAAGAATAATAAAAAAAATAAATAATTATAAATTAAACAAATTAAACAAATATATTGTAAAAATAAAAAAAAATAAAAAAATAAGTCGAAAAAATGAAAAAATATATTAAAGAAATCAAAAATAAAATAAAAACTAAAGTTAATATATAATATATATGAACGAAAAAAATATAAAAAAAATAGTAGTAATAAATAATAAATAATAAATATATGTATTTGTGTGTATATATATATATAAAGTGGAATATTAAATAGTAATTAAGAAATAAAATAAATAAATAAATAAATATATACTAAAATAAAAGGAACATAAAATAACAAGCAGAACTAAAATGTAAATTCTGAAATATTAACGCTCGAAATGAAATAGGTGAAAGTCCATTGAGTGACTGAAGAAAGATACATGCCAGAAATAGGACATTAAAACTTCATTTGGTGACTAAACGAAGACCTTACAGAGCAGGAAGGATCAAACCTGATATTTACCCAAGTATTTCTAAAAAACACGGGTAATGGATAACTAAAACAACGTAGTTTCGTTGGATGGATATAAATCCCAACCATAGGCCAAACTTCACCCTACTCTCTCTTTTTTCTCCCATTTCACTCACACAGACATCTTCTCCCCTCTCCCAACTCTCTCAACATCACTCTCTGGGCAAACCCCGTCCACCAATCGCCGCGACGGCGGCCGAAAAAACAAAAACTCACCTACCCGGCTCTTCTCAACCCCGTAAACACCGTTCCATAGTCCATTTTTTCAGAAAACAATCGAATCGGCGTAGATCTACAGAAATGTCCTCGGGTTTTTTACCTTCGCCGATGGTAACTCTTCAGTTCTCCGGCGTTCTCGTTTTTGTGTTTTGCTTCTCGACGGACGTTTGTGTTGTGGTTTATGTTCTGTTGATTTTTTTTGTTTCGTGGGTTCTGTTTTTTCGGTCTGGTCGTGGTTGATGGCAATGCTTGTTCACTGTTTGGTTTCTCTCGTTGTCGATCTCGGTTTCTGTTGTGTAGTGTGATGGTTGTGGTTCTTTTATGTACTCGATTGTGGTCTATTGTTTCTCGATGTATTGTGGTTTTGTGATGATGGTTGATGTTCCGTCCCCTGTCTCCATTCTCACCAGAGGCTTTTATAGTATCGGTGTGGTTGTTGTTGGCCCCGAAATAAGGGGTTGTTCCGATGACAATGTGGTCGTTACCCTCAACGTTCATGTGGCCGGGAATCCCAGGATGGTGCAGTCCCGGTTTTCCCGACCGGCCGGTTCTCCCCTTTGCGGTGCTGTTGACTAGCATCATTTTAGGGTTTCTAACCCTAAACATTATTACTAAACCGTTTCATTGGGCTGGTTTAGGCCCGTTTCTTTGATTATTTGGACCCCATTTTGGACCTGAAACAAACAATAATAAAATAAACAAATAAATAATAAATGAAATAAAATAAAATAAATAAATAGATAGATAAATAAATTAAAAACATTTTTTTAAAACTATACAATATATGTTTTAAAAAATAATTTTCAAACCATATATATATTTTTTAAAAATTTTCAAAACTATATAATATATTTTTAAAACTAATTTTCAAAACTATATAATATATATTTTAAAAACTAATTTTCAAAACTATATAATATATTTTAAAAAAAACTAATTTTCAAAACTATATAATATATGTTTTTCAAAAATGTTTTTTAAAACTATATATATATATATATTTTAAAAAAATTTTCAAAACAATATATATATATTTTCAAAAACTATTTATTTATTTTCAAAATATTTAAAAAACCCATATATTATATAATTTTCAAATGATTTCAAATTATATATATATATATATATATACAAGTAAAAAAATGGACGAAAATTGGTGTCTACAACAATCTTCTAAAATAAAACAAAAAGTAAACACTTAGGTATGATTTTGAATCAAATAAAAATTTAAATACTAAACCAAACAAAACATGATAGCTTAAATATTAAACGTCTAGTTTACCTTTCAATATTATTACTAGTGAGAGAGTAAATTTGGACTCTTGTATCTCGGTTTTAATAATGACTTCGTATTTATTTTAATTTAGATCTTCAACTTGATCACACGTTAAAATATTTAATTTAAATTATAATTATCAAACATATTATTGTTATTGTATTTGTAACTTCAAAACAACCTTATTATATATATTAATAGTTATGTTGGATTATGACTTTAATAAGTTATATGAAGTTGTTCAAATATAGTTTAATCTGTTAATTTAAAAATTTTATCTATAATTCAATAATTCTTAGATTTAAAGACAAACTCAAGATTTTATGTTATGGGGTGAAATTAAACTTATAAAATCTTAGGGGTGAATAAAATTTTAAGTGAGGAGAAAATATATTTTTAATAAAAAATACAAAAAAAATCTAAAATATATAAAAATTTTATATTTTTAAATGGGACAACTGCCCTCGCCTAGGTCTATCCCTGCTTGCTTGGATGAGATGATTGATTATAGTTATAATCTTTCGTAGAATTATATTTTTGAACATAATACTCTGTGATTATTGTATATAGTACGTTGATATTGTAATTGATGTGAGATCTTTGTTTATTTTTAAGTGAAAAAGGGTAAAAGACTAGGCTACGTTGGGACCTTATAGCCCATAATTTAAGTTACCGAAGCCGCATCCAAATCCATATTGGGCCAATCGATCAAACAATAATTAGGGTTGTTTTCAGCCCCAAATCTGATACCCCGACCTATAAATCATAAAGCTTTACCTCAAAAACCCACACAATATGCTTGCATTGTTATATTTATAGTTTTGTTCATTTAATCCTTATATACATTATTTTGCTTAAAGCCTTACCCCATAAACCAACACAATATGCATGCATTGTTATTTTTATACTTTTTTGTTCATTTAATCATTATGTACGTTAATTTGCTTTCAGTCCTTACGATTTTTACTAATAATTGGACATCGTGGGATACTTTAACTTTTGTCGCACATATTTAACTTTCGAATTTAATTTAGACTCTAAATTTAAATACATATATCTACAATGATCAGTTTTAAAATAGATTTTCAAGAATATTTTATAAAAAGCGATTTAAAGGTATCCGATCATATTTAACATAAAATAGCCGATCACAACTTTAACTTCTGAAATACACCTACATTTTCAAACAAAAATCTTTTCGGAACCTAAAAACGATATCTATAATAGCAATTCAAGTTGCACCATTCATGTGATATTGTAATAGTTTTGAGTATGATAATTACAATACTCATCAAGTATCTTAAACACATGGTGAGGTTTGAATCTAT